GTTTCTGGTGGAGTTATTTATGAAATTGTAACCCGTACTACGACGTTTTCCTTTACTGGATTATTATTCTGGTGGCATTTCTGGCCTAGAGTATTCTGTCTKCGGATTGTAATCCGCGTCATATCTTGTACTGGTTTACGCTTGATTTGCGGCGAATTATTCTTCATATTTTGTGCTGGATTACTCGTTATATTTTGTGCTGGAGTGCGACAAATTCTTCATATTTTGTGCTGGATTTCTCGTCATATTTCTACTAGAGTGCGACAAATTACTCTTTATATTTTTGCTGGATTACTTTGGACATTTTTGTGGTACGCTGGCTTCAATTTCAAGGGTTATTCATCTCACTGAATTATTAACGGGATTATGATTTCTTTAATCGTTGGATTATTTTTGCTGTGCACTGGCTCTTGGTCTGTTATACGGGATTTTACTGTTGCTGGATTGTTGCTCAGCTAACTCAATTTATATTCATGCATGTACTTAGCTGATTGGAATCAATTGTGTACATCGTATTGTTTTTTTTACAAATCCCAAGGGATTGCATGGACGGGAGTTGTTTACATTGGATTTTGATCGTGGTTTTTTGATGTACACACATTACGCTTAATTAATCACATTCTACAGCCAAAAACGTTTATTGGATGGAAACCAGATTGCAACGAAGAAAAAGAGAAATGGAGGGAGAAGCAGCGGAAGATGTTTATTACAGCGAAGGTTTCGAGGAAAGAATTTCAAGCGCATTAATGGAAGTGAAAGCGTTTATCGTCAAAACTGAACAAAGGCATGTGGACTTTCAAGAACGTTTGGACAATTTATACACTATAGTTGAAAGCCAAAAACAACTTTTGGACCGGCTAAACCATACTTACGCTAATAAGATTCAGGAAATGGAGGATCGTATTGAATGCAAAATGAGTGACATTAATAATAACAATGAGAGCCAAACTCGTTTGCTGAAGTATATCGACAACAAAATGGAGGAATTAAATGAATCGCTTGAAAGAGTGCATGCATTAGAGGGGAAATTGGAGAGTAAACTGAAGTTAKCCGGAATCAAGGAACACCGACCCGTACAACTACCACCACCATATGACGGATCAACCCCTTGGGAGGCGTTCAGTGCGCAATTTGAAATAATTGCAAGTATCAATAATTGGAATATTGAACAAAAAGCGTCATACCTGGCCACAAGTCTCAAGGGAAATGCAACAATGGTGTTGAGTAATCTGTCTGAAGAGAACAGGCGAAATTTCGAAGTGCTTACAAAGGCTCTATCAAATCGATTTGGAACTTCTCATCAGTCCGAGCTGGCAAGAGCTAAATTCAAGACACGAGTGAAGAAAAGAGACGAAAGTTTACCTGAGCTGGCGTCAGATTTGGAGAGACTAGTTAAAATGGCGTACCCGGCTGCTGAGGTGGAACTCCAGGATACACTTGCAAAGGACCAGTTCATTGACGGCCTAGTGGATGAAGAAACTAGAATGAAAGTTCGACAAGGAAGACCTAAAAGTATTCAAGCTGCCCTTGAGATTGCGCTGGAACTAGGGTCATATCACTTAGCCGACCGATGGGGACATGTACACTCTCGCCCAACTTATGCCAGACAAGCTAATCGGGTGGAAACAGACAAAGCGTTCACACCGGTAAACAGATCAATGGAATCGGAAATCGACAAGCTGGGAACAATRATTGGAAAAGTACTCGACGAGGTCAAACAACGWGGACACAGCAGACRTGTCGTGGACAGGCMGAGAGTGCAGAGATGTTATTCCTGCAACGAAATTGGACATTTTAAAGCAACTTGCCCTTATTATGAACTGCCAAGACAACAGCAACATGAGAGTTATGATAACAAGCGATCCGGRATGCCAGCGACGCCAAGTCAAGCTATCTCTGGATTGCCTGTAAGTCACCCCTACTCAAAGCCACCACCATCTCAAGGAAGTCACTATGGTACAGCGACACCCCAGCCTTATAACAATCAGGGCAACTATCACTCAACTCTGCAAAGTAGCCCCCAAAATACTTTTACACCAGCATCGCCAAGCGCACCAGCTGGTCGTGGGACCCCACCCTACCAGGGAAACTTCAACCGGTCGAGTTCAAGGGGCCGAGGTCGACCGGGGATGATGTAAAGACTGCCCCTGTTACGTRCAATACTGGAGGGATATTTGTCTCAGCTTTTATTGAAGGAGTTAATTGTAATTGTCTAGTGGACTCTGGGGCGGACGTTTCCCTTCTAAACTCAACTTTTGTACATGACTTGGCAAAGAGGACTACAATCAAGGTAGAACCAACCATGGAGAAAATACAAGTGCTGGGAGGCGGAMCTTTAAGCATCAAAGCGAAATGTACTGTGTCTTTACTTATTGGAGAAACTAAAACTACTCATGAATTCTGTATAGTTCCTACTGCACCTAATTGTTTACTTGGTGGGGATTTTCTGAAGCTACATAGTTGTATTGTCAATTACAAAGAAATGATTCTGACAGTTAATAATGCTGACGTCCCAATGGAACTGGTGGAAACTGAAGAACATGTGATTCTTCGAGTGGTCCTCGAAGATAATATTAAAATTAAACCGTACACAGAGATGATTGTTAAGGCTAAAGTCATTGGTGGTGAAAGTCTGAGCGGATTAAGAACAGTAGGACCGACTAAAGAATTCAGCGAAAGCGAAACTGGAGGAGTGATGATCGGGAAGACTGTGGTTAACTTGAAGGATGGAAAGGTTCCAGTACGCCTTGTAAACCTTTCACCCGGTAGAAAGAAGATACGTAAACACAYAGAAATTGCTGTATGCGAGCCTTGTGCTAGCATAGCGCCTCCAACACCCGGGAAAGGYAAAGTCAAAAGTGATGATACAGATAGAGAGTTACCGGAGCTWCTTCAAGTCATCTATAGCAAGACATCTAAAGACATGGAAGAGGAGCAAAGGAACAGTTTCAAAKAATTTCTACTACAAGAGGAGGATTTGTTTTCMAAAGGATTGAACGAYATTGGTCGGACAAACTTAGTTGAACATTTTATCGACACTGGTGATGCTCGTCCAATTAAACAAGCCCCACGTCGACTGCCCCTATCCAAGAGAAATGAAGCAGACCTAGCTATGAAGGAGATGTCAGACAAAGGCATAATAGAAGAATCATCAAGTCCATGGTGCTCTCCAATCGTACTAGTGAGAAAGAAGGATGGAACAACTCGGTTTTGTGTGGATTACCGGAAATTGAATGCGGTAACAAAAAAAGGATGCATATCCTCTACCGAGATTGGACGTCACACTTGATGCATTGTCAGGTTCCAAATGGTTCTCTACACTAGATTTAAAGAGTGGATACTGGCAAGTACAGCTCGAAGGACACTCTAAGGAGAAGACGGCGTTCTCAGACGGAAGAGGGCTCTGGCAATTCAAGACCATGCCTTTTGGYTTATGTAATGCGCCGGCCACATTTCAACGATTGATGGAAGCTGTATTATCTCAACTGCCGTTGGAAACAGCACTGGTATATATTGATGATATCCTCGTTCATGCCAGAGATTTCGAGCAAGAATTCCAGAACCTAAAACTGGTATTTGAAAGGTTGAGAGAAGCAAATTTGAAGCTAAACCCGAAAAAAATGTGTCCTTTTTGCTAGAGAAGTCAATTTTCTTGGTCACCTGGTCGGAGGAAATGGTATTTCAGCAGACCCTGATAAAGTGAAATCGATACTGGAATGGCCAACTCCTACTAATGTGAAGGAAGTCCGATGTTTTTTGGGACTTTGTTCATACTACAGGCGTTTCATCTTGAACTTTGCTAAAATTGCAAAACCACTACACAGATTAACAGAGAAAGATGCTAGCTTTCTATGGAGCGAAAGTTGTCAAAAGGCTTTTGATGAGCTTAAGTTGGCACTCCAAGCAAATCCAGTTCTTGCCTATCCAGACCCGAACTTGACGTATACTCTTGACACTGATGCAAGCAAGACGGGTCTCGGAGCTGTTCTATCYCAAGTAAAAGAAGATGGACAAGAACATGTCATCGCCTATTATAGCAGAACACTCTCAAAACAGGAATCCAACTACTGTGCAACAAGGAGGGAACTGCTAGCTGTCGTGAATGCCATTGAACATTTCAATGCCTAMCTCTACGGAGCRGAGTTCCAGCTTAGAACTGACCATTCAGCGTTGCAGTGGTTGTTAAATTTCAAGAATCCGAAAGACCAATTAGCTAGATGGTTAGCAAAATTGCAGCAATATAACTTTTCAATCATACATCGAGCAGGACTTAAGCATACTAATGCAGATGCTHTATCAAGGAGACCGTGTGCGTCTACGGCGTGCAGATTTTGTGAAAGGAGAGAAGTAGAAGATGGACTAACAAGTAAGGAGGACACAAGCCCAGCCAGAAAAGTACGAMTGCTACAGCACAGTGAAGAAATTGGCCCCAACAGTCAGCCCGTATACATAAACAAAGGAAAGTGTTGGAGCGATAAAGAACTCKGCGAAGCCCAACAAGAAGACGCTACGCTCCGCCACATAGTTGGATGGCTGCAATCTGGACAAAAACCAACTTGGGGGGAGATATCAGGTTACAGTCCCAACGTAAAAGCTTACTGGGCACAATGGCACTCGTTGGAGCTAAAGAATGGCGTGCTGTACCGTAAACTTGAAAGTGTGCCACCTGTTCAACAACTGGTTGTACCGGAAAGCATCCAAGCTGACGTACTGAGAGAAATTCACGATGAAAAAACTTCTGGTCATCTTGGAATAACCAAAACACTAGCAAGACTGAGGGATCGGTTTTATTGGATTCACTGTAGGCGTGACGTAGAAAGCTGGTGCGGACGTTGTGAGCCTTGCGCTAAGAGAAAAGGACCAAAACAAAAAAAATAGAGCACCCCTTAAAAAGTACGTTTCTGGTGCGCCAATGGAAAGATGGGCGATTGATATCATGGGACCTCTCCCAAAGAGTGACACAGGAAACAGATATTTGCTGATCATTGGAGACTACTTCACAAAGTGGATGGAAGCTATACCGTTACCAAATCAAGAATCTAAAACTGTTGCAGATGCCCTAGTTTCACAAGTTGTTTCACGATTTGGCGTTYCTGAACAACTCCACTCGGATYAAGGCAGGAATTTCGAGTCGCAAGTTTTCTCCCAGATGTGCACACTTCTAGGAATCAAAAAGACGCGCACAACACCTTATCGTCCACAATCAGATGGGATGGTCGAGAGATTCATCTGGACCCTCGAGGATCAACTATCCAAGTACATTGAGGAACATCAAAGGGACTGGGACCGCCATGTGCCTTACTTGATGATGGCTTATAGAACATCCAAACACAAATCCACTGGGCACAGCCCTTCTAGCCTAATGTTTGGACGAGAAATACGCCTTCCAGTTGACATAATGTTTGGTCGACCTAAAGACATGGATTGTCAACTCTCTTATGATGATTACAAGAGCAATCTAGAACAAACGTTGAGTGACGTTCATGACTTTGCTCGTGTAAACCTATCCATCTCAAGTGACAACATGAAAAGAAGATATGATGTTGGTGCGGTTAATGATGTCTACCATGAAGGAGATGCCGTAAGGTACTTCTTGCCCAGAAGAAGAAAAGGAAAAACACCTAAACTCCAAAGTAATTGGGACGGGCCATACTTGGTGAAGAAACGGATCAATGACCTAATCTTTGTAATACAGCGGTCTCCTAAAGCCAAGCCTCGTACCGTACATAAAGACAGACTCTGCAAGTACAACCGAGAACCCCCAGATTGGTTCACGGCTATTGGACACGTAGATAACGATGAGGAGATAACAGACAACGCGTCACCTGAAAAAGACTTACCAGATAAAACTCGAAGAATCGGGAAAAGAGCAACAAAAGTACCGAACCGATTGAAAGATTTCTACCTGTACACATAATTAATTATAATCAAACGTGAAACGCTCAATAAAAAAAAAGACAAAGGAGAAGAAGACGAAAAAGAAAAAGACAAAGACAAAGAAGAGGGAGACGAAAAAGCAAGAGGAAGACAAAGAAGAAGACGAGAAAGATAAAGATGAAAAAGAAGAAGACAAAAAGGACTTTATAAAAACTAGGGATTTTTTTTCTCTCTCTCTCTCTCACTCTCTTTCAACTTTAGAAGCTAAATTATCGGACAAGGCTTATTCTGGGGGAAGGAGGGTAATGTAATGAAGTCTGTAATGTAACGCAAGAATGCATGTCTCTAGAGAATAACACGCCATATAAAAACATGATATGTAATTCAATAAGGAGAAACTAAACGATCCAAGCCTCTGATGGTTGTGTTTTGGGCCCGTTACAACAATATAATAAGTTTCGTTTTTGTTGTTCATATATCTATCTTAAGACAATATTTATATTTGTTACGAAAAGGGGGATGTAATAGTATCGTAGTCACGTGTGATAGCCCTCCAAGTTACTTAGCACCGTTTATACTGTATTAAAAACAAGTATAACCAACTTAGCCTCCAAGAAATATCATGGCAATTCCCAGTATCCACTTTTCAATTTCCACCTCCTCTCCCCCTGCTAACTTCTGATAAGACCTTTATTTCAGTATTTATTCCATTTCTCTCAGTTGTCCCGACGACTTTTCACAATATAACGTCAGGCATTCAAAAAATCCCAAAGTTCCAGGCTTGTGACTATACAAACTTGTCGAATAGTATTATTTTGGTCTTTTTTCCATTTCCCTTGTTGTATTGATTCAAATTACGGTTGTTCCCGCGATTTTTCAAAAACCAACCTCGACTGCCTGATGTTTAGTTCTGTGACACTCCGTTTTTTTTTAACCAAACCTTGTTAATGACATGCACACAATAAAGTACTTTTTAAAAAAATTTTCGAATGTCGACCTATTATTCCGGCTTTCATCTAATTCTAAAAAATCCGCAATGGTCAAGGACTGCATTTGATTAAGGCATATTAGAGAGATTTTTAAATAGGCACATAATAAACTTGAAACAGAGTGCAATCTAAAGTCTCCTTCATATTATTAGCGAAATAGTTATTTTCACTCCGAAAAGTTTCAGCGATCAGAATTTTCAAATGTTAAACATTTATGGCCGATATATACATACCGATATACCGATATATTTATTACCTGGACATGACTGTTTCTTGCAATCTCTAGATTCATTTCCCAGTTCTCTACAATCTATTCCTCCGTGTTTGGGTCTTGGATTAGTGCAATAGCGGGAGCGTTGTTGTTTTCCTCCGCCGCAGGTCCTGCTGCATCGAGACCAGGAGGACCATGGTGTATACCCGCCGTTAACTAGGAATATTGAGATAACGATTCTATGTTACTGAATTCAGGATATCCTGATATACATGCTGAAATATTTTATATACATGATATAAATGCTAGCATGTATGTTTGAGAAAATGTTTTACCTGGACAAGGTCGTTCATTGCATTGCTTCCGCTGCCTAGCTAGACCGAGTCTCCTGCAGTCTCTTCCACCGTATTGTGGCCTGGGATTAGTACATGTACGTGGGCGGTACTGGTATCCTCTCCCACATGTCCTGGAGCAGCTAGACCATCTGGACCACGACGAGTATCCACCGTGAACTATGAATATATTATACTAGTCATCAGATTGCTTGGTAGATTTATAATCATCAAAGGTTTAGACTGACATGCTTAAAACATGTACCTGATCGTTGTGTCGAAATATAAGCAACAAACAGTTCATTCGATATTTTGGATTTACAGCCCGAATAGAATATTACATTTTATCATATAATTATCTATGAAATACCTATATTTCTCCATTGCGTAAAATTGATATTTTCACTAGTGAAAATAATAACACATTCGAGGTTTCTGTATATAGTTAAAAGAAGAAAAAAAGTATTTTAGGAAATAATTTGCTTTCATATCTAATTATATGATAAACAGAATGTTGTTACATGGTCGCTTGGAGATTTTATCTTCTCGTGTTGAAAATCTCTCACACTCTTTTACAATACTCGAAGATAAAATCCCTATCTCCGCGCGCCCATGTAATATCCTTTATATATCGTAAAAAAGTGAAGCCCGCTTCACACCATAAGAAAGTATTTGATCGAAATGAGTTGCAAAAATGCTGTGCACGCGATGATCGAAGCCGTGCTCAAATTACATATCACCAAAAAAATGAGGTGAATGAGAGCTTATGATATATTTTTCATGAATGAAGAAAACGGTTCACGTTCATAAGGAAGTGCAAAGCGCAGCTAACTTTCTTGTAGCAGCAACAGGACACATGAGACTTTAAACTTTTAAATGGGAAGGGTTTGAAATGAGACTTTGTGTTTTGACTTTGACTTTGTACATTTTTTTTAGCGTTCAAATTCTATGATCATCTAGGACTTGGAATTTAATAGCTTGTCTTTTGGTCTTTAGAAATCTGTTATGAAGTTACGAAGGATTAACGTCCGAAACGTCAGTATTTCATCTAGTTTTTACGGTGTTTGTAATGTGCCACTAAGGCTATATAACTGTTAATTCCACAAAGGATACAAACTACACAACACATAAGTCTCTTGAACACACGTTTACTCAACGTTCTTGTCACGTGATTACACAGGTAACCCGAAACACTACATTCCCTCCTTTTCTCCAAAGGAATGCATATGACAAAATTACTAAAACATAATCAATGTTAATATCAAAAGAGTTCAATGTTTCATGGTAATAATAAGGATATCAAAGTTCAGTGTTCTATAGTAATAAATGTATCAATAATAACAGTTCAAAACGTTCTTGTGGTTCCTTGGTATAAGTATCTTCTATTTCATAACAAAGTCTTTAAAGTGGTCTGGCTTTCCTTTGGACTCAACAACTGTGGCTCTGCAGTAGGGTGATGGTCTTGTTCATGCCCCGTTGGTATTTATACAGGTGTTTCAATTGGTTCAGMTTGGTTGGGTTGATTGTATTTCTTAACATGTCCAATGTTCCTCTTGTAGGTAACCCCTTGAGGTGAACACAAGTGAAGCTGGTCCCCATGCCGGGCTGTAATCCTGTATGGATTCTCTTCATAAGCTGGTGTTAACTTATTTTCCTTCCTCTTCTCCAAAAGAACAAGGTCACCTGTTTGTAGTTCTCCAACTTGAAAGGGTCTGTTTCTCTTGTCTGCATGATCAGCAATTGCTTGCTTCTTCTCCGCGTCACGGTCTCTGATGTCCTGGTGATCCATATCTTCTTCCTCAAGTTTAATTACATCTGGTAATTTGGAAGACAGTCCTCGATTGTAAAGTAGCTGTGCTGGACTCCTCCCAGTTGTAGAATGAGGTGTGGATCTATACGCTAGCAGATACTTGTTTAATTCTGTTTTCCAGTCCTTCTTTTCGACATGGAAGGCTTTCATAGCTTTCTGTAGAGAACGGTTTTGTCTCTCTACTTCCCCATTCGCCCTTGGCCATAGGGGCGTCGTCAGCTTGTGGGAGATTCCCATTTCTTTGGGGTACCCCTCCATCTCGTCGGATACTAAATTAGGACCGTTGTCAGTTCTTTGTGTCCTGGGAACCCCGTGTCTTGCGAATTGACTATCCAGRCGGTTGATAATCACTCTACTTACAGTCGATCGTACAATGTCTACCTCCACCCAGCGACTAAAGTAATCGGTCARGACAACAAGATGCTCTCCTGTAGGCATGGGTCCAAGTAGATCCAGCGCAAGGTCTTGCCACGGCTTGTCTGGAATTTTTGTAGACTTTACTGATGGTAAGCTGTAGTGCCTAGTCACCACCTGACAACTATGGCACTCTCTACACTTCCTTTCGGCGTCACGATCCATTCCTGGCCACCATACTTTAGATCTAAGTCGTTCTTTGGTCTTTACTATCCCCTGATGGCGCTCGTGAGCTAAATCTGTGACAAGTTTCCTGAGGCTTGTCGGCATAACAATTCGGCTCCCACGAAGGATGACTTTTCCGATGTAAGTCAGCTCATTTCTGACAACGACATACTCTTTTGGTGCCCTGTTCCAGTTTCCACTAACAAGACACTCTCTAACCATCTGTAACTCCTTGTCTTCTGCTGAGGCATGTTCTATTTCTTTAATATTGAATGCTGCAGGTACAGCTTGAGTTGCGACCATACGAACATATTCATCATCATGCTTGCCATACTCTCCCGATGTCTGCTTTGTCAGTCGTGATAGGGCATCAGCAATGTTGTCTCTGGACTTTACATAGCATACTTTGAAGTAGAACGGTTGTAGTCTTAAAACCCATCTTTCAATGCGTGCCGACGGCTTTGAAGTATTAGAGTAGATGACTTTCAGTGGTTCGTGGTCGGTCACCAAGTCGAATGACTCCAATCCTAGCAGGTATATCCTGAACCTCTCACAGGCCCATACTAGGGCTAATGCCTCCTTCTCCGTCTGGCTGTATCTTCTTTCTACACTGCTAAGACTTCGGCTGGCGTAACAAACAGCTCTGGTCACTCCGTCTTTCTCCTGCACAAGGACAGCTCCCAATCCAACCGGACTTGCATCTGCAATTACACGAGTGTGGGCATGTCTGTCGTAGTAAGCAAGAACTGGAGCACTGGCCAGATCCTTCTTTAGCTTATTAAATGCTTGCTGTTGATCTCTTTCCCACGCGAAGACTGTATCCTTCCTGACTATCTGTCGTAGAGGTTCTGCAGTTGTCGAAAAATCTGGTATGAAGCGTGAACTGAAGCCGACCATCCCCAAGAAGCTGCGAACTTCTGATGGTGTCTTCGGAGCCTCAGCTTCCAGAACTGCCTTTACTCTTTCCTCTGTTGGTCCAATTCCATACTGTGATAGCAGGATACCCATGAAGATTATCTTGTCCATTCTGAAGGAGCACTTCGCTGGGTTGAGCGTCAGGTTTCTCTCTTGTAATCGTATGATAACGTTCTCCAGGTTTCTGTCGTGGTCCTCAACATTCTTTCCATGTACAACAAAGTCATCTGCAATGTTCTGGACACCTTCAATGTCAGCCAGTACTTGTCTTATAATCTGTTGGTACTTCTCAGGTGCAGAGTTAACTCCAAAGAGCAGTCTCTTATATCTGAAGAGCCCGTCGTGCGTAGCAAACGTCGTTATGTCGCGGGAATTTTCACTCAATTAAATCTGGTGGAATCCCAGTCGGAGGTCTATCTTGGAAAACACTGTACTGCCATTCAGACACTCAAGCACCTCGTCGACCGTTGGCATAGGGATTCTCTCTCTAATTATTGCTTCGTTAGCTCGCCGCATGTCTACACACAGTCTGATATCTCCTCCACTCTTTGGTTGGACAGTAAGCGGACTGACCCATGATGTGGGACCCTCCACTGGCTCGACTATGTCCCTCTCTATCAGGCTCTTTATCTTCTCTGTCGTCACTTTCTCACGGTAGGAAAAGGCAATGGTTCTTGGCTTCTGGGCCACTGGTGTAACAGTTTCGTCAATGTGCAGCTGTAGTTGATAGTCAGTGAGTTTTCCGACACCTGTGAAAACTTTAGGATATTTAGATTTGAGTTGGCTAGCAATATCCTGAATACTATTGATTTCCAGGCTAGATGTTGGGCCAATATGTAAGATTCCTAATGCTTTAGATGAAGCGTTACCCAGAATACACCGTCCATTATCAGTAACTATAAACTGAGAATCAATTTTTCTGCCGTGTACCGATAACTCAACATCAAATTGGCCTATTACTTCAAGCTTCTTGCCTCCATAAGCAAATAATTTTTTCTTACAGTCAGTCATACTAGCCTGTAAACCTTGTGCTTCCAATTGCTTGAATTCAC